ATTTCCTGGTAGGGTTCAAACTTCACTTATCCTGTCTATGATCTTGTAAGGACCTTCAAACTTAGCACTTAATGGGTATTTCCTGGTAGGGTTAAACAGCAATACTTCATCACCAGCACTGAATTTTTTATTTATCGCCCTTTTATCAAAATTATCTTTCATCTTACTTTGTGCCTTTTCCATATTTGAAATTGCAAATTCTCTCACTTTATAAATTCTTTCAATCATATTTTCCACATATAAACTTAAATTGTCCGTCTCGTATTCATTTACCAAACTTTCAAAAAGAATCTCTAAAGGTCCTCTAATCTGATAGCCAAATAAAAGCTCACTTGGGGAATAACCTAAACTTTCATTTTTAGCAGTTCGCACTGCGTATAACATAAACGGGACACTTTCATCCCACTCTTTGTCAACCTCATTACAAAATTTTGTCAAAGTGCATTTAAGGGTTTGATGTAACCTCTCTAATGCTCCTTGACTCTCTGGGTGGTAAGCAGTAGAGTTACATTGTGTAACATTTAATATTTTCATAACATCCTTAAACATTTTACTGGTGAAATTAGAACCTCTGTCACCCTGTATGACCTTAGGAATACCAAAAATTGTGAAAAACATAATCAATGCAGGCATAATAGTTTTGGTGGTTATGTTGTGTAAAGCTATAGCTTCAGGATACCTTGTACTTGAGCACATTATTGTCAATAAGAACTTGTTCCCTGTTTTGGTTTTAGGTAGGGGTCCCACACAATTATTACTTTAGAAAATGGATCATTAGTTATAGGAATGGGATTCAATGGGGCTGATGGAATTTTCCGATTTGGTTTACCAACAAGCTGACACAGTTTACATGAGCCACAAAATTCCTTAACATCTTTGTTAATACTAGGCCAGAAAAAGCATTTCAAAATCTTCTCCTAAGTTTTCTTTACTCCTAAATGACCTCCAATAAAATCATGGGCCAAGCTCATTACTTTGTACCTAAAACAACTTGGTATTACAATCTGGTGCAAATCAAACCACTCGCAACAAGGATCATCTGCATTACGAAATTTACGCATTACCATCCCATTCTTTACATAATACATTTTCCTTTCTTTTTCTAGGTCTTGTGTACTCCCTGCTTTATTAAATAATGTTCTCAAAGATGGGTCAGACTTTTGTGCTTCTACTAGTCTTTCTCGTGTTATGGGTACAGTGGTTAAAATTCAAAACTCTTACCTTTAAATTATCACAATTATGCTCACTCGTCTCCGCTAACTTAAAGTCACATAATTCACTTGGAGACATTGACTCATCAAAAAGACAACTAATATTCATACTTCCCTCACTCTCCAAGTTTTCATTTAAAGTCTGTGGATGAATCATCACATTAGTCTTACTCCTGGTCAGCACATGATGGGAATAAACCTGGATTCTCCATCATCTCCTCCTGTACAGGATCAAAAACTCAAGGGTTTATCTGAAACAATGACATTTGGTACCACAATTCTACCTGCAATATCATTACCCAAAGGTAAATGTATGCCTGGAACTGGTAGAGTATCTGCCACAGCTACTTCAACAGGGCACGTCAAACATTCTGACTGCAAAAACAGCTTGCAAAGGGGGACTAACTATACCACCAACTCCTCTCATCAAAACATGCTTATCCGTCAAAACATTCTCTAAAAACGGTAAAGCACACTTCAACACAATACTTTGTGAAGAAGCTGTATCCCGCAGGATAGTAACTGGAACTGGTTCACCACCCTCCACAGCAGATATCAACCCTGTAAACTTATAAGGATCAAAACTCTTATCAACTATGACATCAGAATCTACCTTACTAATATTCTGTAAATTCTCTGGAACAGAACATACATTAGCAACAGATTTTTCCCTTTCTTTTTTTTAAGTTTATGACAATTAGCAACAATGTGACCAGCTCTTTACAATAGTAGCAACCTTTAAATCTAACTGTATTTTACCTAAAATTTCATCATAATTTTAAATTGTATAACTTTGAAACTTTTTATTCACAAGACTAAAATTTTCAGCTAGTTGTGCTGCTTTATCAACTGAATTTACCTCTCGCTCTAAAAGATAACGCTTTACTTCTTGAGGAATACCTCTAAAGAACTGCTCCAGCAAAATAGTTTCACTCAACTGTTCATAATCTGTTACACTACTTGCAGTTAACCATCTCTCAAATAACTTCTTTGAGAAATGTGAATATTCTAGATAAGCTTGGTTTACATCTTTCTTATTGTTTCTAAATTTTTGTCTATAAAATTCTGCAGTCAGTTGATATGACTTTAAAACTGTGGACTTCACCATATCAAAATTTAACTGTTGAGCTGCTGAGAGAGAAAAATAACTAGAACGTCCTTTCCCTTTCAGGACAGACTGAATCAAAAGAGTCCAAAACTCTCGAGGCCAATTCAGTGTATTAGCCACATGTTCAAATTGCAAAAAAAATTCTTGAGGATCGTCCTCATTGAATGGGGGAACAAACTTGGTTACTTTAACAACAAAAATAATTGGTGTCTATAGCATGTTGTTTATTAGCTGAAGTTTGTATCTGAGCTAACTTTAATTCCTTTCTAGTTTATATTTCTCAAACTCAATTTCCTTTTTTCTTAATGCTATGGCTGTAATACCACTTTCAGACTCTTTTGTGTCTGTGCCCAGCAAAGTTAATGCATCATCATCAAGAATTTCTTTCTCGATTATTACCTTGACAACAGTTTGCTTAATCTCTGACTTTGGCCAAGATGATTTAATTGAAATCTGGTAATACTCAGCAATTGCTTTCCAGTCATCTTTTCTTATTTTAACTAAACTTGACAAAGATGGATTACTGACAAAGTCTGCTAAATTAAACTTAGCCATCATGAGTCACTGGTCACTACAAACTCAACAAAATATGTTTCAAAGTTTCAAAGAACATATGAAATAATAATCAGTAATCACATGCAAATTAGCATATGACACACTTGTAGCTAAATGAAATCATCTCAAATTGGTCAGGTCAGGCCCCCATGTCATACAACTTTCCTCTGGTTTTACTCAGTCTAGGGATATCCAGAGGAGTATGAACTAAAGCATCACTGGCATTTCCAAGGTTAATTAACTTATCTTACATCATTTTTAAGAAATGACTCTTATTTCAGCAAAGATAATTAAACACAAGGAAAATGTTAACAATTATAGATTTAATGTTATACCCTTAAATATAACGTAGAACTCCTTACACAAATTTGCATAAATTATATGACAAAATAAATAAATCAATAAAGCAAATGATAAACGAACAACTTTTGTTTATGCCAATGTGGCAATTACTAATACTTTCATATTAAGTAATTTTACTTTATCCCAAATAATTATGAAACCATTCACATTTACACAAGTAAGTTCCAATAGACTACATAAGCATTTACGAATGCAAAAGAACGAAAACGTATTCAACGTGACCAAAGAAAACGGTTAATTCACCTTAGACTTAACTATATCACATTCTTTATGAATTTCCTTATCATTTTACATAATAACTACATGACACTACACAACTGAGGCTAATATCATCTACATTTTCAATATAGGTGATTGCTGTCATTATCATTGTTACCGATTAATTATTATCAAGCCATCGTGATTATCACCACCATTACCATTACGTTCTTTATATAGCATCACAATTGTCATTATCAGTATAACCAAGTCCATCGCTACAATTGTTATCTAATTTTCACTTTCATTGTCAACATAATAATTTATCTATCATTATCATGCAGTTGCAAATAGTGCAATAACATTGCTATTTTGTATCATCTTATCAACGAGGGTTTCTTTCTTTATTCTCTTCCTCACCATCAAATATCATCAAGTACATTATCATTATTATCATCATTATTATAATCTTTAGCATTTCTACTACTACTACTTTTATAATTGACTTCTTATTTCACCTGGACGTTGTTCGCATTATCGTCATCATGCCTATTCCATATCATAAAGAAGAAGAAGAAAAACTACAGTTTACAGTTAATCACAAATGCTCTTCGGGATGAAGGTTTGTGCGCCGATGAGGATACAGGCGAGAGATTCCGTGAATTATACTTGCATTGAGAGAGAGAGAAAGAGACTGAGAAGAGGAGAGGGGGAGAAGAGAGAGAAGAGAGATTATTGTTTTCAATCACGTATGCATAATCTGTATTAATGTTGATTTGATTACTCATATTATTATGGTTAAGAGCACAATTATATATTCTAAAATCTTTTTATATTTTTTTATTTTCATAATTGTTGTTGTATTATGATAAATCCTCTTTCTTATTGTTACTATCATCGTTATAATCAACATTATCCTTTTCTTATCAGTAACAAAAGCATTATTATTGTTATATCGTTCTTACATTCGTTCATTGTTCCTACTTTTATAATCCTTTTTAGAATATGTTATTATTGCAGTTATCATTACCATTATCATAATCATTATTTTATATAGTTATACTTTTATCATCTTATCATTGTTAATAGTATTACTATCATCTTATCATTGTTAATAGTATTACTATCATTATCATTGTTGTTTGATCATTATTATTATCATTATTGATAATGGAAATAACAATTATCATTATCAACATTATTGTTATGTAAAGTCATCTTTTGAATAAACTAGTGTGTTATGAATGTGAGATGTAGGCTTACAAATAACAGCCTTTTTTCTACACGATTACAATTCTCAATGACTTGCTGTTTAAGGCAATTGCAAATTTTAAAGTGTACAAGTATGTACGTTTCTTTCGTAAATGTTTTCACTCTTGTTCATGATGAATATAATTCTTTATATAAATGGTCTTCATGAATATATATATAAGTTGTAATGTATTCTATCATCAATAAGAACATTAAAAATGATAGGCCTACTTAGCGTTAAAGATCCCCGTGTAGTTGATTGACAAGCGACAATCGTTCGTTTTCTATCATTCGCGTCTAATTCCCTTGGAGTGAAATTCAATGCAGTTACTGTAATGTACGTAGATTAGACGATAACATTTTCATTGATGAGAAACATTTTGTTCATTAATATCATTTTTTTTCAGAAGAAAATTAAAAGTCTTTATGTGTCTACCTCTCTAAAACTCTCCACCTCCCTTTCTCTCTATATAAATATATACATATCTCATTTTCTCGTTTTCTTTATCTGTTTCTATATTTCTCTTTCTCTGCCTGACGTCTCTCTTCTCTTTTTTCTCCAGCTATCTCTCACCCTACATGTGTGTATGTGCCTCTCCCTCTTCGCTTACGATAAATATTATATGTTGTTGAAGAAGAAACTTATATGGACTAGATTTTGTTGTTTCTTTTGGGAATACTTGTGAAATACTTGTATTGCATTGTGACAGCTGGATCCTGTGCTAACCATACATCTTCTATTTTGTACCGTGTGAGGTTGTAATTTTTGTTTACATTTTATTTTATTTTCTCTTCTTATGAAAACATTTTTCAGCTATATATATGTATATGAATATATACCATTTGATATATCATATATTTCATTCGATTTTTTTTTCAAACAAGTATTCTTTCCAACATGCTGAGAAAGCATGTAATTTCATAGCGACTTACAGAAGTTGTTTAATGATTTATATTTGTCGTTGAGAACGTACAGCGGTTGGGTAAATTATAAGAAATTTATGATAAAAACAAGATTCCATGTAACAAGTATTCGAACAAATACCAATAAGTACAAAAC